ATATATTCGGGGGTGTCACTGGTCCAAAATCGTAAAGTAATGGAGCCAACAATATGAAGAACAACTCAGAATTCAAAATGTTTTATTTTTTTATCGATTCGAACGTTTAGTTTTCATCTCGAGTGCATCTGTTAAAGTAAATAGAAGACAAATTTTGAATGGAAAACATGACTATTTTAACATACAGTACCGGTTGTTTTGAGGAAAGGTCTCCTAAAACGAGCGGCCTTTTTTTATTAGAAACATTTGAGGGATGGTAAACCCATCAGCCTTAATTTGGCTGTTTCTTGAAGTTCTGAGTTTTCCTCTTTGCATATTTTCACATGGAATGGAGGCGATTGCTTAGATATAACATGAAGTAAGAGAACTTCAGCTAGTAGAATTTTTGTTATGAAAGTTTTTCATCTTAGCCTGTGTATACAAACTTATAAAAGACTCAAAAATCATTCAGATCGAGAGCTCGATTTTTCTAGAGTTCCCTAGCTTTCAATTCCCGGAAAAAAAAGTAGAGATTACAAAAATCTGACGCCCACTGAGATTAACGCCTTGCACCACCGAAGTCACGATACTTTCTTTTCGTCCCGTGGCAAGTTACAAAACAAAAATATAATTTTTTGATGCCTTTCCCGATGTCTTCGTTGCTTATTAGAGCAGTGAAAGATATTTGTATAGTCGACGCTTTTGAAAAATTGCTTAACTTGTGATTTAGCATAGTTTATTGTTAACATTACGGGATTTATACATGGTGTATTAAAGCTATTTCACCGCTGACCACTCATATCCCGGACCATTTTTCTTGCCCCGCTCGTCGCCCGTGATGTAGTAACTCCCATACGAAGATGTCTATGCGACTAATACTACCCCGGATGTTGTGCCGCGAAAAACATCACGGGAGTCATTTGGGGTGACATTATAACTGGCTTTTCACACTTTGGCGGCTCAAAGAATTCAGTTCGAAAAAACGTTTTTGTAAATAACTCGAGTACGTTTCAACACTTTAAATAATATTTTTGGAAACTGTAGTTAAAATAGCATTGCTAATTACTTATCTCGGGAGAGTAGTTTCCTGACGCTCAGTGTAAAAGCCTGAGAGCACAGGGCTCGAAGCATCGATCTCACTTTTTGACAATTTCAACAAAAACATGAGTTTATCATGTATATACATCTTTTCTTTAACCTATAGACTTCGGACGCCTTTTGCCCCAAAGTCAGGGTTTCAACCCATGACTTAGCTTTCCGTAGTCGAGGGAAAGGGTGTGTAGTGAGAATGTGTCACAATCCCAAAACTTGCGTAAAAGGAAAAATTCATAGCAGTTAAAGGGTTGCAAGTTTATCCTGAGACAGAGGGAGAATACCGTCGAAAGTGAATAAGTTTCCATCATATAGAAGAACGCCCTATAGCCTTGTGATACTGCAACATTCAACTATACGACAAATTCTTTGAATTCTCATCGTGTACTAATTTGTTTGGTTTCCGGAAAAATTAGTCAGTGATGAAGGTTTTTAGGGCCCAAGTCACCGTCAAGTCTTGCTTGTCGAGTAAGAACCGCATAATCTTTGTTCGAGACGGAACTTAACCCATTTTGCCGTTGCGTAAACAATTTCACGTAAAGCAATTGTAATCAGATTTTCAAACAAAAAATCCAGCTGGCTCACACCATGCAACGTCTTAATTCACTTGTTAGTAGTGCACAACTGATGTCTGAAATGTACAGGTTCTAATCCTTGTCCAAGTTTGATATCTATCAGAATTCTTTTTCTCAATGTTTTTAATTGCAAACCAAAGTATGATGTTACGCGGGTAATCTTTAGAGACTGGGTAGCTTGCAGACTAGACTGAACTCAGGGTTGTCGCAACAGCAACAAGAAGATTTATTCCAAAAGTGAACGCAGTTTCCATGAAGTAAAACTCTACAACAGCACGTCATTTGATAAACTTAAATGGCCTTCGTCAACTGCAACTTCAAATGAACACAGCTTCCGTCACACTTGACTAAGCACGACTTCTAACGTCAAACTCTCATCGCTTGTGAAAACTAGTTTAAAACTTCGCTTGGACTCGCCTACCTATATACTTACACAATAAAATTCTAGAACTTTCTAAATAGTCTAATTATAGAAATATTACAAAATATACTGTTTAAGGAGCTTATCGCAGGGGCGCAAATTTCAAAATGGCTGCCTTGCGTTTTGTCAATGTTACTGAGAAGTGATAAACTCGATAGTAGAAATTCAAATCCGAAGAGAACAAAAGATGCTATTAAGTTTGATATAACACTTGTCAAAGGAAAGTATGAAGCTTTTGCTGATTGAATTAAATTTACCTATTACATTCTAGTGGAGACCGGCTGCTTATCTCGCTACTAGTAATCAAAATACGAGAAACCAAAAATACTGAACGAGAAGAGTTTCAGTAAGAAAACGCGCATCAAAAACAGAATTCGAAAGCACCCTATCCGCAATTGCTCGTCTCGGTGATTATTCAACAATATTCACTTTGCCTTCTGTGAATACTAGTTGAACAATAATGATAATAGTTATAAAAGAAATAATGATAATGTATAATAATGAATACGATAACATTTTTTGACAACCTCCCCCCCTCCCCCACGAGGCTTTTCAGAGTGAATACATATACATTGAAACAAACATTGTAAACAAAAACTGTTTTAAAATCCCAATTGACTGGAGGCATATCAGTTGGCTATG